GGCTCCACTAACCTTTTCTTGTGGTAGGCTTTTATCAGAATGTTTGCCCTGTATGGGCTGTGTGTTTTAAATCATGTTCAGCATTGGCTGCATTTAATCAGCTTCATAGTTGCCTTCCATTACTCAGAATATGCTGCTTTTGATAGCAGCTTAATGATTGACAATGTATTTAAAGAGGTTTTCTTGTACACAAATGTAAGACAAGGGGCTCCCTCTCATGCTGATTGGGAAATAAAAGCTCATCCTATATTTTAGTAAATACAGTAAGTCCTCAGTTCCTAGATCCAGAAAGTTAATCTTTGTCCCCAAGTTCACCTTTCAAAGTTAGGTAGATTTTCCTTGAGCACAAGGATATTGAGGTGAGAGAGGGAGTGTTTTTTCCTGTGAAAAATATGCTCTTAATGGTGTATATGTGCCTTTGCCCTTTATAGTGTTTTATGTGCAAGTTCATACTGGTTTCTAGTTGTTGTAGAGTAGAGATATCTCAAAGCTGAGCATCCAGAAATTGTGGCAGATAGTATTAGAAGCCTCTGAGCCTATAACTGATCTAGTGAAACGTATTTGGGGGGGGGGGAAGAGGAAGGAGAGGCCTAATTAGACTACTATTGTCTACTCTATTTATGCTTTAGGGGAACTACAATCCTTTCATTTTTGTTTATTTGCTTCTGAAGTCAGAAACTAATTTGTTGCTGGTGTGTGCATATGTAGATGAATCGGACATTTTTCATTTTGATTAATATGTGCTTCCAAAAGATTATACATGCATATAAGAAGAGCAGCCACTTAGAAATGTAATACTTGAAGCTTAGAGGACTTCTAATCCTATAATATAGCTCTGGGTTCTTACAGACATCAATGAGTGCTTTGCATAGAGTATTTCTGAAATGTTTAGAAAGGACTTTTAAGTTAAAGGTCTGAGACTCACTAAACTACTGTTTTCTTCATGAAGTTCATATCTGTGAAACATGTTTCTTGCTGTTCCAAGTTTACAGAGGATAGGTCATCTCTTACTGCAGTAGCTAAAGCTGCTTGCTGTTTTAGTAAAGCTGTAGAGACTTGTGCTTTCAGCTCTCAATGCATTACCCAAGAGGACAGTTGTTGTATCTGCATTATATTACAGAAAAATACACCTAGAGAAGTAGGACATATATATAGTGGCAGCATTAATATGATAAACTAAATTAATCATGCACTTTTTCTCATTTCACTTCCACTCTATCAAGCAATCCATTTAAGCAAGGGTAACAGTTTCCTCAAACACTGACCACTTTTTTGCTTTCTATCCTTCACTGCCTAGTAGTAAATCCTAAATTCTCACTGTTGGCCTGAGACATGGGCAGACCCGGGATTTTACAAAGCAGGGTTACAAATGGTGTTATATGCATCAAGCCATATAACACAACTCATCTTTTCTCCAGGTAAAAATAAACTAAACATTTTATTAATATGCTATGGGCTTAAGGCTATATTCATTTTAAGTTGGAAGAAAAACAAACAACTTTATTGGAATATATATTTATTTGCTATATCATATGTTATATATTAAAAGCACACCAAACTAGGCAAAAATAATCAAAAGATGTTGTTTCTTTAGTCCTGTGGTCATTAGAATTAAATGTACATCTCTGAGATTCATAACAGAAATTCAAGCCTTCTTGAACATCTTGACAGTGCATTGAATACTTCACTGAAAGTTATTTCCACACCTGAGTTTTAAGCTAGACTTAAACAGTCAGTAGGGTTGTGAAATAGCAGGAGCTGTGAACAGATAGCAGAATTATAGAAGAAAGAATAGCTGATTGGTAAAACATTAAGACCATTTTAAAAAATAGAGATTTACAAAATCTATGGGGGGGAAAAAAAGGTTAGAAGGAATCAGGTACATTATAATGAGGCATAAAGTCAGGTGACTCTCTCACTGCTGCCACTGCCAGGCAGATTGTTTTAAACTTTGGGTGGATTGGGAATCAAAGTGGGGTGCAGTTGTACCACTGAACCTTCCATGGATCCATTCTTGGCCTGAGATTAATCCCATTTAGTCCTGACCCTAAATCAGGTTTGAAACCACTACTGCTTGTCGTTACATAGATACAAATGTTGTGATTTACAGAATTGGGAAAAGAGAAATTGCTATCTTTTTTAATGGATCATGGAACACTTTTTTCCCCCTAGCCTTAAAAAGCGTAGAGATGAGGTTTACACAATTTAACACCATTGTTCATAGAAAAACTCTTTTTGGACATCCTTAGATGAAGAAGTATTGTGGAACTCATGGCAATTAATGGTAATAAAAAATAACAATGAATTTATACTATATCTTTTACTGCATTTTAAAGATAGTTTTTGTTCTTGTTTTGTAAAATACATGACCTGTATGGGGAACCTTAGGGCTTGGTATAGTATAATGTCTGTCTTGGCACTCAAATAAAATCACCTGCATACTTTATTGATGCCCTTTCTGGTCATCTGTAATGCCACTATCCTAAACCTTGACAAATGCCAGTATGCTGATAGACCCTCAATAAAACCTTAATACAACTGTCTTGGTTAAAAAGTAGTGTGGCATTGAGAGTAACCGTATGTGTTTATATGTGTGTGTGTGTGTGTATATATATAACGTGTGTGTGTATATATTAGTTATAGCCACATACAGCTGTAAAACATGGGGAGTCATAGGAAGATAATAATTGTAAAATGTAGACGTATGGAAACAATACAAAAGAATACAGCTCATGAGGTTAAACACCCAAGACATTGAGCTTCCTACCAATGTCAGCAAGACACTGCTCACTGTTAGACCCTGACTCCATGCAGCGCCCACTGACTAGGGACATGATGATACAGTTGCTCATGGATCCTGTTACTCATTAGCCAGAGCAAGCAGGGAGCAAACACAAGCACACATTGCTCACAACAGCTTTATTTAAAATGGAGAGCTTCAGGCCAGGTCCCAAAAAAACAACAAACTGGGGACCTGCAGTGAACAATAGTTCTTTCCACATTTAGACACCTTGGTTCATGCTCATTAACATTTACTGCACCTTCACCCCTCCTTTGGTTCCACCCATATCTCCTCCTATCTCAAGCTCTGCCTCTTTTTACTGTTTACTTAATTTGCATGGAATTGCCTATGCATGTTACTTATTTACATGTATTTTGCTATGAGCACATGTCTGAGACCTTCACCCCACTTCAGTCACTGGGCAAACTTTGACCAAAACCTGGAAGGTTCTTCACCAATCACCATTCACCTTTTTGCATATGTTCATCTCAGATTCTGTTATCAGTTACATGTTGTCTTTCACATTCCAGTCTGTTTTTCAGTCCCAAGTTGTACCATCTTCACATTCCTGAGGCTTTACCTCATTCACAGCATGCAGACTTACACAGACTCACTTGAAAATGTTTGAAACAGTTAAGATGGTTACTTAGCACAAGCACTTTATAAGCAAAAATCTGCTTTACCTTCTAACGTTACATATTTTATAATACTACTATATTGTTAAGAAAATGCTTGCCTAAGCATTTTGCAACGTTATGTATAATATATTATTTTGCCTTGTGGTCACCAGCTTTGCTGAAGCCAGAGATTAAAGCCTTGTTTCAGCTTCAAATCTAGTGCTTCCCAAAATCCAAATATTGTCACCCTAACTCTCACAACCAGAAATAACTCCCAAGATCTCAGGAATATAAACATAGGGAATGACAGTGAGGAAAAGTTAGAGAAATTTAAATATTTAGAAACAGCAATGACTTACAATCAAATACTGAAGAAATTAAGGCAGAGTAAATTGAGCCCGAATAAAATAACTGTATTAAGTAAAACCTCAAGAAACCTTAAAACATAGCTTTATTGTTGTCGGGGCAGACCCAGTTAAAATTACAACAATGGGCCCCAGGTATTCCCACAACATTAACTCTTGTGTATGCAATCGTGTGCCTAGTTCTCTGTAGCAGTGGTCCTGACTCTCTCCTGACATGTCTTGCTGTTTTTAAAAGGATGTCTATTGGGAGGTGGTACTTTTCACCACTGATGGACAACAATCGCTTGAGGAAGTTATCTTCTGGGACTGTGACCTCCCCTACACCCCAGCCTACCTAACCCAAATGTTATAGTAAAGATTCAGGGGAGGGGGGGCATATAAACTGCTGTCTTTTTTTTTTTTTTTACAGGCTTGTGTCTGTCCTGACAATTGTCTTGACAGAATGGAACTGGTGAGGACCACTGGACTTCCTTTTCAATCTCAGGTCGGTTTTCTGGTTGTTCTGAGAACAGCTTGTTCTCTGCCCTCTCTCCCAGTTAGTTAAAGTTTATAATAATAATAATAATAACTAATAAAATTAAATAAAAAAAACAAAGAAACAGAAGCCCATCTGGGCTGATATTCTCAGTCCCAGGAATATTAGTCTGTCTGAGACTTTTCCCCTTTAAGATAGTTCAGGTGTATCTCTGCTCACCTTATGTCCCACCCTGTTGGCCTGTATAAACAAGGATGTGATAGACAACCCAGTTCCCAACCAAAGGGAGAGAGGAAAAAAAAAAAGAGAAGAAAAAACCCAATACACTGACTTTCAAGGCTCAGTTGCTCTTCCTCTGGCTGGCCTTTTCTCAGCAGTGTCACTTTCTCACCATGTTTGTCATTTGGCTTCAAAGCACCACTCAGGCCAGTGTTTGCCAACCTAATTAAGCTCTTCTGAGCTTAATTGCCAGCTTTCTGCTGGCTCTCTAATGCTGGGTAAGTCCTGCCCTGGCACTTGGGGCTCAGGATGCCATTCCCCACTCCCTGACTCCCTGTGCTCTCTCTTCCCCTCTTCCAGTTCTCTGGGGTTGCTCTAGCCTCACAGCAGCTGATCCAGAACTGCAGCTCCCAGGGGTCTCATTTCTCTTTCCCTGGTAAGTATCTCTCTTTTTTCTTCTTCTCTTCTTTCCTCTTCTTCACAATAGTACAATTGTTCAACCTGTCCTTTGATGTGGATATATATCCTGGACACTGACAAAGGCAAATGGGAAAAGCCTGCAAGTGTTTGAAAAGTGCTAAGGAAAGTATTTGATGCAGTATAAGAAAACAGATTATGGAGGAGAAGACACAGTAAAGATCTTGTGGACCTTTACAAAAGACCTGATGTTTTGAACAAGATAAGAGGATAGAGAAAGAAATGGGAAGGGCAAGAATCAATGAGAGAAGGCATGTGAGACAGATTTTAGAAGCTTAAGTAGAAGGTACTAAACCTTGAGATAGACCAAGGCAAAGTTGGGAAGATAACTTAAAAACTGACTGGAAAGGATAGGTGAAAAAAATGTGACAAGGTAGAAGGAGACTGCATGAGAGAGGTCCCTGAGACGAGAGAGAGAGAGAGAGAAATGTAGATAATGTATACTTTTAGTTGACCTTAACAATCACAAGATCTAAAAGCAGGACGGTTAAAGGAAGAAGTAATGTTATTATGTTGGGAACAAGAGTAATCTGGACATTAGTCTGGTTCTGATGCTAGAAAGGGATGGTAAAATATCAAAAGTGATATAAAAATCAGAAGTATTCAATAAATGTTTAAATACTTATGTATCTGGAAAAAACTGAAAAATATATTCATATCTTAAAGTAATAATCAAATACTTTCCTTTTCACCAGAGCCCAGTGTTGATATCATACAGAATATCATATTAAATCCATTGGTGCTTTCTAACCAAAAACATAAAGGGACTGAGATGCCCAGAATGGGTCCTGTATGGAATGTAGGTGTCAAATGTTCAAAGCTATGATCCAAAAAACCCCTGCTTAGCTGTCACCTAATACTGGAGCTGACAACCCCAGTGCTGACACAGATTTTAACATTGCTCTCCCCTAGGTACCTAGAGTCCTATGGTTGGTTGCATGTGCCCAGAAGAAAATCAGTTGCAACAGGACTGAACACAGCTAAGTTCAATTTAGTCTGAATGGCCTGTTGTACCTCTCCCACATCAGACTATGTATAAAATGGTATGGCAACTGCCTTTTCTTTTGAAATGCAATGAAATAAACACGGTTTCTCCAAACCAGCTCAACATGCTGTGGTCCCAGGCACATGTTTAAACACAGTGCCTTGGAGCAGTAAACCCTCGTGTGATATGCACCAGAGCTTGTTGCTTCACATTAATATGCAAGTGTAGATGTACTCACTGCCATTAGAGTACTTGTATAGCATGTGGTAGAGCGAGATTGAGTCCTGTCATAGGATTAAGGAGATTCAAACCAAGATTTCACCCTGTATAAGAATGCTTCTAACCATCAGGGAATAAACTGAGTGGGTGTGGGGGCGGGAAGACTTCCAAACCCTACTGTTGAAACTGGTCCATCATATGTAACAAATTTAAAAATGTATTGGTGAAAGTGAGAACATCTTAGTCTCTAGCCTACAGTTATGACATTCAACTAAGAGGAAGAGTCTTCAGTCCTAGCTCTGAAGGTTATTTTTGTATTTTATCTACTTCTGGTTTTATGTAATGTGCATAAACAGGACCTAGATCAGGGAATCTCCCTTTAGACATAGAAAGGAACTGAACTCTAGTCCTTCACATTCTACCCTCTTAGCACTTAGGGTGTCTTTATGTGTGCTCTGGGGGTGGGGAGGGGCACTTTAATTACAGCAGCTCTTGGAAGCAACTCTAATTAAAGCACACCGTGTCTCATATATTCAGAATCCTGTGCTTCAAAATGGTGGTAGAGGAACTTTAACTAAAGCTCATTCTCACAGGTCTACAAGCACCCTTAGTTTCTAAGCTTCCACTCTGGGTTTTAAAAGAAGAGCAACCTCTTTTGGAGGTCTCTGTCCAAAGAGAAGCAACACAAACAAAAGAGAGAAAGTCCCTAGAAAGTGTTCTAGGTGGCAAGTGAAACTATGAAGACATGAGGGAGCTAAGACATCATGAAACAATTTAATAAAGTTACATCTACTAGCTAATGCCTTTTAGTTAGATGTGCCTCAGAGCTTAGCATATTATAAAAGTCCTTCTTTTTTAGAGATCTCTTCAACTGAATTTTATTCAGCATTACTTGTATTTAATTTCCATTTAATGTAATCTAGGTGCTTTAGGATTGATTTGATGAACACCATAGATTGAAAATAGATTTTGGTAATAGCATTCAAATCATGAATATACATTTTAAAGTACACTTGTCCACAGTAGGTAGTACAAATGTGTTTGTTATCACTCAGTCTCTTAAATTGAGATCCCTAGATAGATATTGGATCCACACTGGGGGAAGTTCACTTGGATTTCCAGGAATACATCTGACAATTCCAAGCAATACCTTCAAATTATATGTTTGAGAACATGGATCTGCTGGAGAGCTTGACTGATCACATACATTGCCTCAAGAAGAGGATGTCTCTGCCTCTGAAGCAAAAGCAGTTTCTAGCAAGAACTGAATATAGACAGCTTCTCACTTGACTTCTGATGTTGTGAAGAAATCTTTTCCTAATCCCAGTGAAAACAAACTCAATGACTTGGGCTTGGTTTAGCAGTCATATAATAAACTGATTGGAATGATAGAAAAATTGGTACCAACTCACGTATGGAAGTTAGAATAACTGTTTATTTTGGACATAAATATGATGCAGACTGTTAGTTATACACATCAAGCCCTCTGTTACAAAATTTATGAAGTGTAAAAGAGTCTTAAAAAGAATATAAATTTTTCTCCACTTAAGAGAAACTTTTACACTGTCACAGTGATGTGAACTATGACTATGAAAGAAGGCTCAAAGACTTTATTTTGCCTCCATGTTTTAGGAATCTTTGTTTTTTTATTAGATTTATATCCTACAGTATCCAAAAGGCTCACTCTATCATACACCCTCTTTGATCTTCTGAAATGACATTCTCTGTCCAGTAACAACTATAAGAGTGTAGCTACACTACAATTACCACATGCTAAATTTCGTTGGTGTTAAAGTTGCCACATGCTCTGAGCAGTAGTAGCACAATAAGGGTTAATACTCCCTATAATGTGCACTTCTCTGACCTCACCTTAGGGGGCTGGTAAGCAGGTGCATGGCTAGGAACAAAGATGGCTCTTGGCTCACCTGCTTGGCTCATCTGTGCTCAGGGGCATGGTAGGTACTGGAGGGGTCCCATTGGACCTGCTTGCCCTGATTGGGTCCTTGTTGTCTCCCCACCACCCAAATCAGGCCTGCTGCCACTCTGGATCAGACCTGATGCCTTCCTGTGCCCCTCTGGATCAGGCCAGTCTCCCCTGGCACCCTCAGATTGGGTCCACCTTTCTTGACACCCCAGATCCCTGCTTACCATCCACTTGGCCACTCCCAGTTTACCTGTGGTTGCTGGCACTGTCTCAGGGGAGCAAACAGGGTAGGGGAACCCTCTCACCACTGCTGCCACTGCTCTCTGGGCTGGGCTTAGCCCAAAGAGCAGCACTAGTCCAGTGACAGTGGCAGTAACGGTAGCCAGACAGTTGGGTTCCCCTTCCCTGCTTGCTACACAGTGGGGCAGAGGGGGAGGCCCAGTGGCGGGGGTAACAGGAGGGGATTCCTCAGGGGAATGGGACAGGGGGGAACCTTGGGGACATGGAGGATGCGGGGAAACCTGAGGGACAAGGGAGAAGCCCTAGGGGAGGATGAGATGCCCAAAGGGATAGTGGGGAGAAGGGGGAGTCCTGAGGGGTAGGGATCATGGGGCAGGAGAAAGCCTGGAATGGGAGCAGAGGGGAGGTGAGAGGAAGGGAGGGGGAGATTCTTACCTTTAGGTGATACCCCAGCTGCCCCTACTGTTACTGTGGGGAAATACAGACAAGCATCCTGGGGTGCTGGAGGGCTGCTTCCAACTGGGTTTGGGCCTGTGGAACAGTCATATATGACTGCAAAATAAGCTTCCCAAAACCAATTTGAGATAATCCTTGATGGAAGAGGATTATTTCTAAAATTCTCAGAGGGCCTTTAGCATGTGTTTTCCTGCTGTGGACACTGCTGTTCTAAAGGCCTTTAACAGGTATATCATAGTATCATAATGCTTAGGGTCAGAAGGGGCCTAAATAGACCATCAGGTCCAACCCCCTGCCCCAGACAGGAATGGGTGCCACGGTCATATCACCCCAGTCAAATATCTGTCCAGTCTCCTCTT